TTTATGATGCTCTTAGTTGGGTGAGAAAAGTGTCTAACCTCTTACATGTGGATTTTTCAGCTATCACCTTGCAATAAACTTCCAGGAGAAAGCAATAGAGGCTTGGGAAGGCCATGGTCCAAGTGCAGTAGATGAACTTAAGGAAGCTCATCGACTTCTCGAACAACTGAAGAAGAAAGCTTATGGTATATCCGATGGGTCTGTGATTAAGGCCTTGCCTTTGGCTAATTCTAGTGAAGCTGGCTTTAGTAGTAACTCACAAGTTGGTATTCCAGTCACTGAGAGGCAAAGAAGTGCAACATAAGTTTATTAACATGTTCTTTTCCTTTGAAGGAATAATTACCATTTGTTAGTTTGATGTTTCCTTTTCACTGTAAACTATTCTTATAAGCTTCATTAAAGATATTAAAGCTACAAGATCCATCAGTCTGCAACTTTCATCTACCATAATAAGTCTTTTTTTAACATTCAGACCTCTGTCTTATTTACCAGATGCTGGAAATCACATACTAGCTATGAATGCTGCTGATTTCCCAAGTGTATCTAGGCTATATGTTTGAGTCATCAACTCATCATGTTAAAAGAATGCCATGTTACTGGATGAGTTTAAGTGTCGTCTATGGTTATTTAAGCTTCCAGCTTGGTTCTTTGCTCGTTGCTAATATTGGACTGAGATGAGTTTAAATGGAACGACGTGAATAATGAGTATGCATACAGTTGACTTGTTTGAGATTGAAACAGAGTGATATGCTACGTTCACTCGAGTTTAACTTGTTTGGCATTGAAGCATAGTTATTGCTTGTTACTGGTGCCAACTGTTTACTAAATAGCATATGCTTCTAGAATGTGCTAGGTGTTGTTTACATACAGAAATATAGGAATAAGTGATGTTGGTGCTGACGAAACTCACGTGGCATGGAAACAGGGAATTGGACGTGGGAATTGACCATGCTACATTTTCGTTTATTGTCTCTGCATTTTGTGACATAAATATTTGGAACACGCAGAATCTTGAATATAAAAACTGTACGGGAGAAAGAGAGTTTGAATTACTCTACTCTATTTTCGTAGATTGTGAATCTTGAGGTTTGACTTTTTTCTGTTAATACTTTATTAGTGCATTCACATTGATAAAAAAGCCTTTCTAAGCAAAGGTCTACTTCTATCATTTTGGTTTTTGGGCTCCACTATCACCTTCTGAAAATATTCTAAGAAATGTATAGCCTGCGCTTGAGAATTGTCCTCGGTTTGATCTTTGCATAGAGTTGTTTAGCTAAACAATTAACAATTCTACATTAGGTAAGGAGAGATGTCGAAAGCTCTCCAGTTCCATTTTGGATTCATTGGAAAAAAGGCCACTAACTGCCAGGGGCGTATCTAGCTTAAGGAGTATGGGTTCACCTGAATCCATACTCCTTTCCTTAAACCATGTATAAGTAGGAGTGACTAGGGGTGTTCATAAAAATCCGAAAAATCGAACCAAACCGAAAAACAAACCAAATCGATCAAAAAAACCGATACTTTTTGGTTTGGTTTGGTTTTGGTTTTGAAATTTAAAAACCGATCAAATTTGGTTTGGTTTTGGTTTTAATAAAAAAAAACGGAAAAAACCGAACCAAACCGACTATAGGAGTAGCTATTTCAAATTTATTATTACACCCATATATATGTATATTTTTATACAAAGTTTCAAAATTTAATGGTAAATGTTAATAGTTTGCACTTTTAGTATAGTTCTTTACCTTTACATTCTAGTTTGATTGGTAGTTTTCTTTTGTTAAATGTAAGAATCCATTTCGTGTTAAAAATAATATATTTTTAATTGAGTCCTTAAATTATTCATTACTATTCGATTCAATTATCATCAATATATCTTGGTAAATAATAGATTTCTCAAAAGGCAATTGATTTGATAGCGTTACGTTAAAAATGTGATCGTCGGAATATGTGTTTGATAGTGTATGTCTTATATTTAAGAAAAAATCGACAAATAACCGAAAAATCCAAAAAACCGACAAAAATCGACATAAACCGAATCGAGAAAAAACCGACTTAATTGGTTTGGTTTGGTTCTAATATTTAAAAAATCGACTTACTTGGTTTGGTTTCTTTTAAGGGAAAAACTGATCCAAAGCGAACCATGAACACCCCTACCAGTACCTTCTGTCCAAGCTGGGAGTGTTAGATGTCTTTCACTCACTAGCTTGAAGGGAAGTATTGAAGTGAAGGGGCTAAAGGAAGCCTAGAAGGGAGCAAAGCGTAAATAAAAGAGAATTAGTGAGGTAGGAGTGCTAGTGATTAAATACACGAAAGAGATCACACGGATTTCAGTTGTAAAAAATAGAATTAACTGTTAAAATTCTAAAACATTCTTCCTTTCTCCTCTCTTCCCTCTCTGTTTGAACTCATCATTATTCAATTGCTATGGTGTGATGCATGTGTGAATTACAGCTATACTTAGCTTAATCTTGCTCAATTAACACTTCTGAAAGTTGTTAATCTACTTTTTTTTCTTTGTTAATTTACTCACAATTTATAAGAGATGCTTGTTGGGAAGAAAAAAAAATAGTAAGTACTTCTCGACCTATTTTCAGTAGGTTGAAAATAGGTGGTTTAGAAATTGTTAGAAGTCATGGGAGATCAATTGAAGCTAGAGAGAGATGGGAGATTCAGAGTCGAGAAGAAAGAGCAGAGCTTCTTCATTTCTAATGAATGAACTGTACAAGTGCTACAGTATTTAACTACTAACTAATAACAAAATAACCGACTCTTTACAAACTAACTATCCAACTAAATCTAGTTAACATGATAATTAGGCTTAACTATAGTTAACCATCAGCTTGTTACATAGTTGCTGGTCAACACTCCCCCTCAAGCTAATGATTCAAATAAGTTCTTCAGTCCAAGTTTGTCCAGTAGGTACTCATGTTGAGCTTTACCCAGCCCCTTTGTAAGCAAATCAGCTAGTTGATCTTCTGTATTGACATGTTCAGTTTTCAGTAGTCCCTGGCTAATTTTTTCTCTTACAAAGTGACAATCTATGTCAATGTGCTTTGTTCTTTCATGAAATATTGGATTAGCAGCTATTTGAATTGCTGCTTTGCCATCACATATCAAGGTTATTGGCAGTTCAATCTTAACACCTAGCTCACTGAATAAGCCAGTTAACCAAGTGACCTCTGCTGCACATGAAGCCATGCTTCTAAACTCTGCTTCTGCTGAACTTCTGGAGACAGTACTCTGTTTCTTAGACTTCCAGGACACCAGTGCATTTCCAAACTTGACTAAATACCCTGTACAGATCTCCTTGTCTGTATGCATGCTCCCCAGTCTGAGTCACAGTAAGCAGTCAGATTACTTGAAGATTCTGCAGGCATAAGCAGTCCTAGACCCGGTGCCTGCTTTAGATATCTTACTACTCTCAATGCTGCTTCCATATGAGACACTTTAGGACAATGCATAAACTGACTAAGCACTTGTACCACAAAGGCAATATCTGGCCTGGTCATAGTGAGGTAAAGCGATCTTCCTACCAATCTTTGATATGTACTAGGATTTTTCAGCACTTCATTTGAGTTAGTATTCTTGATAATGAAACACTTATCAAATTCAGTGATTGTTAACTTTTGGTTCAGTTCTAAGGGTGTTCCAGCTGGCTTTGCACCACTTAGTCCTGACTCAGAGATTAACTCTAGTGCATACTTTCTTTGACACATGAGAATTCCTTGTTTAGACCTTGCAAACTCAATACCTAGGAAAAACTTTAGCTCTCCTAGATCCTTCATCTTGAACCTTTTCTTGAGGTCAGACCTTGTTTCACANGACAGATTCTTATGAGTAATATCAACCCTGTCAATCAACAATCCAGATAAATCAATTAGTCGTTTTAAGCCAAGAACACAACATGATTGTTAGCTAGCCCGTGACCCTGGAATATCCTCTCCTACTGTTTGTTTCTCGAAAATTGCTGGTTGTTTGGTTAATTGTTCTAGTTACATTATTGCTTGATAATTTAGGTAGTAAATTAGTGATACCCCTATTTTGTGGAAAAACCTCTTGAATAGATAAGTTAATTGAGTATGAATCAGTCAACAGTTAATCACAAGTCTTTGTGGGAACGATACTTTACTCACTACTCTATTACTTGACGATCACGTGCACTTGCGTGAGTGTTTTTGGTCGCAACATTCTGTGTACTGATTGTATGAGTAATTTTTTATACTGTTAAGTGAAGCTGACCGACAACATGTAAATTTTCATACCAAGTATGATATGGTAATTTGAAGAATAGAGAAATAATATGCGATAACTGATTAAATTGCACAGTATTTTTCTTTTTAAAAACAACTTATTACTCCCTCCGTTCACTTTTACTTGGCACATTTTGACTTTTCATGCATCTTAAGAAATAAACAATGAAGTGCATAATTTATCATAATACCCATATTAATTGATGCGTATTTATTGGATATGAGAAAATAATTTGAAATGAATAATAAATACTGTGGGTATAACAGGAAAAAAAAATATATCTTTTTCTTGATATGCATAAAACGCCAAGTAAAAATGAAAATTTATTTTTAGTATACACGCCAAGTAAAAGCAAGCGGAGGGAATATTTCCTCTGCCAGTTCCAAGACAGCTTAAGGCCAGTTTTGATGTTCACATTTTGCGCCTAGAAAACTGTTCTTTTCAAGTTTGACCGATCATATCTGTGGTGATTATATTATTAAAAAACTTCAGAAAATGATCCATTAATATGGCCAAAAAAACTTTGTGATGCTGTAATGGGTCCCTTGCCATAGATTGGACCCTTACTTTTAGTCTCTCTTTCTGGTTTTCTCAGACTCTCAAGATAAAAGGATAAGAGATCAAGTAGTCGAAAGTTAATGGAACACAATCATTTTCACTCGCGAACAATTAACTACTACCAGAAACAAAATTATTTTGCTACCTAGCTATAATGTCTTAGCTAACAACCATGGACCAAATTTGAAGCTAAAGGTAAAAGAAACTAAAAAAAACCATGTTAATATTTGTGTCGGGAGCCAACTTTGCAGCAAAAGAATGAACAAACTAACAGATTCAACATACTTAAAATTCAAAGGGTAAAACTGAAGTTTTGGATCTTCTATGTCCAAAAGAAAAGATTGATTTACGAATTGATCTACTGCTACTTTCTCCATTGTTTCTAACCTCTCTGAGGTGTCTATTATGCCTTATCATCTCTTGCACTGATAAATAAACATGTCGGTCCGCCGCAGAGTCCATAGAGAAAGATCTCCTTATTGGCTCAACTGAAAACTGAGTATCTTTCTCTCTAACATTAATGCATTCATCACCCATAATTGAAAACTTTCTTGTTTGCTGTTTTGTTGACTTTCCAATCCTCTGCTCAAACTTTCTTGATTGAGACTGCAACAATTCCCTACTAATAGAGTTAATTCTATTATGTGCCTCAACTTCATGACCACTTAATTCAATCACAACAAAATCTTCTTCACTCCCTAAAATGCTACTTCTTCTAAGTAGTGGAATATGAGGATCTTGAGGTGATGAATTTGGTGCAACAATCATATCAAGTGGATGTTTATTTGTTGCACCTGAAATACTAGTTCTACAAAGAGGACAACTAGCATTATTTTGAAGCCAAATATCAATACAATCCAAGTGAAAAGCATGGCTACATTTAGGAAGAAGTCTTAACATTTCATCTTCTTTAAACTCATTCAAACAAACAACACATCTCCTAAAACTTCTTTCACCAACTCTATTTCTGCTGTACTGAAAAGTTGGAATATCTCTTATTACCAATTCGTCGAGTCCTCTGCTTTCTCTTGAAGGGGAATAGCCCATTAAAGGGTCTTCATATTGGCGTGGCCGCGTACTAAAAAAGCGTCTTAAAGGGTCAAATTGTTGCCAGTTGATGCAGCATTTAGAGACAAAGATATAGTAGCTGACTAGCAGAAAACCAATGGCCATAATTCCTAACATTGCAACACCAATTATTGGGAAGCCACTGCTTGAAACTGCACCCATTGGAGGTTGAGTTATAGTAATGTTATTCTGCTGGTTTTTGAATGAAAAAAGATGTCTTGGTGCTGCTGCATCCATTAACACTACAAAAATAAGAGTATATAATATGATGAGATCTGAATGGAGTTCACATATGTTTTGTGTGAGATGAAGAAAAAGAAAAGAAGCTTAAGGGAGTGGAGAAAAATTTTCTTTAGGAGGAACAGGTCAGAAATGAGATTGAATGAGTTTTATCAGCAGCTCAAAACTTGGAAAGTCAAATATGAATAAAGAAATAAGATCATTGAATGAAGTGGGAGAGTTTTGAGGAACACATGCACTTAATTATTATGTGTAATAAGTGCTGTTCTCGAGAGAGAGAGAAGTGTTTGAAAATGCAGAGACATGGTTATTTGTTAAGAGTGCTGCTATTCGGCCAAATTCAGCGTGGCCCAAAAATGACCACACCCGTTAAATGCCAGTAATGTCCTTGTTTTTCCGTTTGGCTTAACGACCTTTTTTTCCCTTCAAAATATTTCCCTCCAAAATTAGTTAATAACTTTTGATTATTCCAAAACATTGATCCCATAAATCATCATTCTCTCAGCATGGGAAGATAAAAAGCCTTCGTATATACGGATGGCAGCCTTCGTATATACGCTCAATTACGTTTTTAAAAAAATATAATTACGTATTTTTGTTAAATACAATTACGTATTTTTTTTAATTAAATGCAATTTATACGAATGGGAAGATCAAAGGTCTATTATGTATATATCATACCATATACTTATGTTAAGATAGCTTTCATTAAACACATAATTCACCACACTTCCCTTAACCTAAACATGAATACTAACCGAGAAACTAGTTTGGACCCATTAAACCCGAATAACAGTCTAGAAACTAGGTCGGATCAACTAAGGAATGCATTACACATATCATTAGGGTTGAATTCGGACGACAGTTTGATGAATGAAGATGAATCGATCGACATTGATTCAGACGGCAACTTCAATGATGGAGAAAATCCTGTTGACGATGNCATAACTCCTTGAGTCAAGGTAAGAACTTCTCTATGTAGGTACAGAATTCTGGAGCCATTGACTTTGTCAAATCTCTCCTTTAAATCTTCCCATACTTTATGAGCACTCGATGCATACAAGACACTACTCAACAAGCCCGGTCTCACAGCATTCATTATCCATGACAAAACAATGGCATTTACTTTCTCCCACAAATCATGAAGTTTAGGTTCAAACCTAGACTTAGGAAACCTACCATCAACAAAACCTAACTTGCTTTTGCCTAACAAGCCAATTCGCATTGCACGACTCCACAACGCGTAATTATCAGATCCAGTAAGCTGAAGAGAGATCAGAGAACTACCTGGTGTATCATTAGGCTGTAGAAATAAGGGATGGTTGTGATCGACAGCAGGAAATGAGGAGCTGGTCACAAAATTACCATTCTCTGAAGTCGTAGTTGTAGTAGTACGAACTGGAGTAGTGGAGATGTTAGCTTGATTATCCTCGATTGCCATTGATACTGAAAATTAGCTTCGAAGAAACAATTTGCAAAACCCTAACATCGATTCTGAGCTACTCTGAGGCAATTCTGCAAATTTGAGATGCAAAAAATTGCAGTATAAGCGAAGAAATTAGTTTGCACGTTCAATTAGATCTTATACCGATATGACTACTATATCACTCCCGGCCTTCTTTGTAAAGAGAGCGTAGTCATAATGGCTTTGCTGAAACCTCATACACACTAGGGCCTCTGTTAGCTTGACATTGGGCCTAACTCAACCCCAAAAGCTAGCTCATGAGGTGAGGATTGCCCAAGCCATATAAGGAGACCAAGTCCCCCATCCCTTAGCCGATGTGGGAGGCTCAACACCCCCCGGCACGTCTAGGCCTGCAAACTAGAACATGGACAATATAATATGGGGGCCCAACATCGGTGAAACAAAGAATTGGGATGGGTCCGGCTCTGATACCATGTTAGAAGCCATGGGAGATCAATTAAAGCTAGAGAGATGGGAGATTCAGAGAAGAAAATTCGAGAAGAAAGAGCAGAGCTTCTTCATTTCTAATGAATGAACTGTAGAAGTGCTACAATATTTAACTACTAACTAATAACAAAATAACCGACTCTTTACAAACTAACTATCCAACTAACTCTAGTTAACATGATAATTAGGCTTAACTATAGTTAACCATCGGCTTGTTACACAGCTACTGGTCAACAGAAATTGGCCAGACGAAGGGTATTAAAAGATAGTACGTATTTAGCGGTTAATGAAATTGAAATGAAAAACATAGAAATCAGTTTGAATCTTAAGTACACAAATGAAAATTAGGTGAATTTCTCTCATGAACACCGTGATCTTGTGGTTTTGAATAATGTTCGGGATTTCCTTTTTATGCTTCGCACACATACACCAGGTAAAAGAGAAAAAATCATTACAGTTTCAGTGTTCAATCAACATTTTTTTTCTTAAGTCAAAATAATATTCGAATTTTCTCTAATCTCATTCAAGGTAAAAGTTAGCCTTAGTAATAAATTACTCCCTCCCTTCATTTCTATTTGTCCATAATAAACTTGAAACGCCCTTAAGAAATGATAAATGAAGTACATATCCATAATAATACTAGCATTTTAAGAAGTCTTGGGAAATAATTTGATAAATTAGTAGTTAATGATAAGAGTAAAACAGGAAAAAGGAAATATAATTTTGATTTGTTAAAATTGACAATTAAAAGTGAAAATGCATTTTAAGCATTGGGGACAAGTCAGTAGATGGACGATGCCATAAACGACTAAGCTACGGACAACTACTGAGGCACTATTGAATTAATCAAAAAAGAATTTCTTTTCCATAATCGAAACAATGATTACAAAACTAGAAATACTCAAAATTGAGAGGGTCTCGATTATGTACAAAAATATACTGTATAGTATCCGGTGGTGGTTATAATATTATTGAATTCCTGGCAGTTTCTAACAAGCCTGTCCTACCTTGCAACCAAGTGCCCCTGCAAACCTTGTAATCCAAGTAACTTGATCTGCTGGGGCTGCCGATATTCCATCGTAAAGATGTTGATGTTTCTTTGACCAATCAGGATCACCAGATTGTACAAAATATGCCCCATTCATGTATAAATCTCCCTCTGATCTCCATGTCCACTGCATCCACACTGATTCTGGAGAGTACTCCCTCTTTGTTATCTGTTTTTGCACATTCATAATAATTAGTGGAATAAAAAGAAAGTTTGTGTTCTCTTTTTTTTTTTCTGCTTATTTAAATATTAAAAATTCGTAACATATAGAACCTCTAAGATGGGATAATGAGATAATTTGCATTGCATGACAACTTTTTAAATTTTGTCACTGTTTGCGCAATGGGCTAACCTGAACAGAATTCAAATAATGGCCTCAAAATAAAGCGCTTCACCAGGGGTTCTTCATAATTTGTATTCGAATTCAAGATCTCTGTTTGAGAGTGGAGGATTCCCAATAATTCCACCACACTCCTTGGTTGTAACTCTTAAACGAGGACGAATTTACATTCCATATATGGGGCATGTGAACCCGTAGTCTCTTCGCCAAACTAGGTATTTTATGTACATATTTTATAGAATTGATCTAATATTATTTGATGGCACCCATGATCCAAAAAAAGTTGAATGGTGTGCTCTGTTGAATACTTTATTCGTTATACCTAGAGGAGTAGAGATAAGTTCTCACTTAATTAATACTTTATTTTTTTCCTATTTTCTTTAGTGGTGCAACGATATTATAAGAATCTTAAATCCGCCTCTACTCGTAAAGAATCAAAATTTTGAAAATGCACAAATAAACAAACAAAATAAAGGAGATAAATTACCTGTTTCTTGAAGATGTCAGGAGGAGCAATGAAACGATTACCCTGGCTAATAATGGTAGGATTTTTACTACCACCAATAGCATACATATTCCAGTGAGTATAGTCATTATTAACAACATGGATGTATCCCCATCTGCACCTCGGCATTCTCTGCACCAATCTCTTTCCAAAATGATTGAATGCTAGTGTAATTTGCATTTGTTGATCTATTGAAGAACTATCACTCGCACCAAACAACATCACCTCATTATGATCTGTGAAATGGCCATTTGATATGGTGATACCGGTGGATCCTTCAACAGCATCAATAATTCCATCATAGCAATTCCACATTGACACATGATCAATCCAAATATTAGACGCACCAAATATGGAAATGCCATCTCCATCACTCATTGTTCGTAGTCCAATATGGTCCACTGCATCTCTAACCATGCCACCATTTCCTTGGACAATGTCATGAATGTGTAGGCCATGTATAATCACGTTTTTTATATACTGGATCATGATACCTGTCGAGATATAACATGAATATATAGGTAATAAAAAGTGTACTCTTTCAAACATTTTAAACTTCAAATGTGATAATCCACAATCAAGTATAATATATACCAGCGCCACCAGCAATGTGAACGTTAGCTCCACGAGCATCAATAGTTTTATCACTCTGCATGATCAACTCCTGGTGTAGCCTAATGGTCATTCCTCTGTCAAATATGATCCACAATGGCTCCTTTTGAATAACAGCATGACGTAGGGTTCCTATTGTATTGCAGACATAATCAATTACATAAAAGTGTATTTTCTCTAATAGTTTAAACTATTAAATAAGATTATCAGACAATATAATACCTGGTTTTGGGTCGGTATAATCATCTGAAGAATCACTGACGACATAGAACCTACCGGCCTTTCCGCCAGTGGCCTTGGATCCAAAGCCCATTGCACAATCTGCTAGCTTTTTCCTGTTGTCTGCCCAATTAGGGTCACATCTCCAGCACTTATCAATTGGATTTGTGACCATACAAGGGCCCGTGTATTTTTTGGTACCTAGCTCCCTTCTTGTGTCATTCTGTGGTATTACTTCACTTAATTCCTTCATAGCACTGCATGAACAGGACAAATCTTAGCAGCATATATAAGGATCTATCTTTTGCTTAAACATGAGAGAAAACTTCAGGAGTGGTTGCATGAAAGTTGAACCATAAACACCCAAGATTAACTTGATTAATAATGGTTCAATTTTCCATATTAAAGCCTGAATTGGTGTCATCAAATCCACATTCTTGAACTTTTATAAGACTTGTGTGCAAAGTTTAAGGGAAAAAAAATTTGTCACATACAAAAAGTACCGATAGAATTCAAATCTTAAATATAACATAATATTTATATGACTATAGAAGTATGCACAGCCATAATTAAGTGTCAAATGGAATGTTAAAGTTATAAAAAATTTAAATATAGAAGGTGATGCTATATATACACTATAGAATATGGAGTAACTCCAAATTAAATATTACATAGACAATTATTTCAGAGAGAAAGAGGAACTTGACATACTCACGGACTTGTTTGTTAAATGCTAATGTGACATTTTCAGGTTCGCTCTCATAAGTTTGGAGAGCGACCTTTCTGGCTTCCTCGGCTCTCCTCCTCCACACTTCGTCGAACTCTCCAATATGAGCCTTGAAACTTGGAATTATTGCAGCAAATGTGAAAAATAAAACGAAGAACGAATGCATAATCGTAGGTCCTTTCATTTTTATTGTTATAGTTTTTTGCTTTTTGTTGTGTTAATGGTGGCCGGTCGGGGTCGAACCGTTGGCTAAGTGGAGGTTCAGACCCTAGCTTGACCAACCACAACCTTTTTTTTTAATCTCAGTTATGCCTCTCTGTATTAACAGAGAAAAGATAAAATTTTCTTTTGGATTCTGGTAAAATATTGCTTAAATAGGAAGACTTCTCGGGACATTGGACACAGAATTATCGCAAAATGCTCACATCCATTATTTACTGAATTGAACCACAAACACTAGTTCATTTTTCAGTTTTCCTTGGTTACCTCTGGTCCAAAGATGCTGATAAGGCGATGACAGTCAGCCAACGTTTGAAATTACAATATTTACTAGTAATATTGTGCAAGAGTGTGATTGAAGGATTAAATATTTAATTTTATGCGACACTATTACTACTTATAAAGTCAAATTAAAAAACTTCCTTTGACCATTTCTCAAGTATCTTTTTTCTTGTTTTTCACGGTACCCGCATTGGAGCCCGACTATATCTGAATCGCGCGGTGATTTCGGGGGAAGCGCTCCCTACCAAGGATTTTTTCATACCCAGGGCTCGAACCCGAGACCTCTGATTAAGGGTGGAGCAGTTTGTTAACTGTTTTGACATATACATTACTTCTTATATAATTTTCAAGTATTTAAATTCTATTCAAAATTAAACATGAAGGACATATGCCTAAATTCATGGATTAGATTTAACACCTCTATAGAACAATGAAACTGTATACGGCTAAGATCGGAAAGACCAATTTCACGATCGACGAGGCAGCCTGTAGCTTCACCTTGAAAGGCCCGGGGGATAGCTCGAGGTTCGTAGTCCTCGAAGGTTCTTTGTGCCCAATATCGGGCCAGCACGAACTGATGGTTATCCCGAATAAGCGGGAGGTTCCCTAGGAGCAGTATCCTTCTAACAACGCCCACATAAATAGTGTCAGCCTGTATCAGACTGTTGGGCGGCTGTACCAGCTACTTTTTGTAATAATTACACATGTATCATGTTGTGATTCTCCCCTCATGTATAAAGGGGGTCCTCACCATTATGTAACAACACAACATTCAATACAAGAACAAGAACATTCTCTGCTCTCTAACTTAAACATACTCTCTATTTGATTCTATTGCCTGCATTCATTATCTCACTTGCATTTATTACATTTCATTAATTGTTCTTCATTTATTGCTCATTATTGATCATAAGAGCCGCCATCAAAGCTCTCATAATTGTTAGTCCTTCATCGACTGCCCTTAGCTAAGCATCCAACTCGACCTCGAGGCCCCGTATATGCCAGCTTGAGGCCCCGATTTCTAGTCATTCGGTTTGATTATTATACTATCTTCAAGCTCTTATCTTATTTCCTAGTCTCTCACTTAGCATCTATTGCCTAACAACTAGCATAAAAATAAATCACGTATTTTTAGAACCATAAAATCAAATCCAATTGTTATTACCATTAGCAAACAGTTTGGCGCCCACTGTGGGGCTAAAAATAATAGTGATTGTTTTCTTGCTGGTTTACTACATAACGCAAGTTATCTTTCACACCTTTCTTGTCCAAGAATCTTTGATTTCAGGTCAAAATGTCTAACTCAGTGAACGCACATGAAAACAACGGTCTTGAGGACCATGGAGAGAATGGTGTAGTTGTTCCAGGTATTGGTGTACCACCACGAAACCCTGAGAATGCACCAGAACCAATTCCCGTGGACGTGGTCTCGCGCAACGCTCAACACGTCGACATAAACTCCCACATCAACAGGAATACACGCCAAGAAAATCAACAAGAACCTCGGAAAAACCTCACCCGGGAAGAAAGAGAGGCAAACAGGGGAAACGAAGTGGAAAAACCGCAGCACATCATTCATATGATCATTGGGGGGACCGACATTCCCCAGGGGCCCATGGTTAAACGGATAAAGGTTTCCGTGGTAACGGAAGGACAAATCTGGGGCCGCATATCAGAGGACGTCCTCACGTTTAGCGAAGAGGATTTTGAGACCCTGTCTCATCCACACAACGATGCGCTGGTAATCTCGTTTCTCTTAAATAACATCCAAATTAAACGTGTACTCGTGGATCCAGGTAGCTCGGCCAACGTAATCAGGTCAATGGTGGTAGAACAGCTCGAATTGCTCGATCAGGTCATACCTACCTCCCGAGTCCTCAACGGCTTCAATATGGCCCGCGAAGCAACAAAGGGAGAGATCACCCTCCCGGTCAACATATCCGATGCAGTTCAAGATACCAGATTCCATGTCATTGAAGGTGACACGAGGTACAACGCCTTGCTTGGTAGGCCATGGATACATAACATGAGGGCAGTACCGTCGACCCTACATCAGATGATGAAGTTTCCAACGAAGGACGGAATAAAGACAGTGTATGGAGAGCAACATGCGGCGAAGGAAATGTTCGCGGTCCATGAGGAGATATCAAATTCTGTACACTCCACCTCAGAAGAGTTGGAAAGCAAACAAACCCCCGAGGACAATGAAGAAGATTTCCTCGCTCCCAGAACCTTCGTTGCCCCCGAAGAATCGGATGCAACGAAGTCAACTATCAAAGAACTGGAGCAAGCCATTTTGATCGAACATCTCCCAGATCGGAAGGTATACCTAGGAACGGGATTGACCCCCGAACTCAGGAAAAAACTTATTCAATTTCTTATTAACAACATCGATTGCTTTGCTTTGTCCCATTTAGATATGACAGGGATCCCGCCGAAAATAACCACCCATCAACTAAGCGTCGACCCCAGGTTCAAACCGGTGAAGCAAAAAAGGAGACCCCAGTCCGAGATAAAACATGCATTCATCAAAGACGAGGTAACGAAGCTCCTCAAGATAGGATCTATTAGGGAAGTAAAATATCCCGAATGGCTGACCAATGTGGTGGCAGTTCCCAAAAGGGGGAATAATCTAAGAATGTGCGTAGATTATAAAGATCTAAATAAGGTGTGCCCTAAGGATTCATTCCCGTTGCCCAACATCGACCGTTTGATCGATGCCATGGCCAGCCATGAAACGCTCACTTTTCTCGATGCCTATTCAGGGTATAATCAAATTCAGATGAACCCCGAGGATAGAGAAAAGACTTCGTTCATCACAAAGTACGGTACGTATTGTTATAATGTAATGCCCTTCGGGCTGAAAAACGCAGGGGCCACGTACCAACGCCTAGTTAATAAGATGTTCGGACATCAAATAGGCAAATCCATGGAAGTTTATATTGATGACATGCTAGTTAAGTCCTTGTGCGCAGAGGACCATTCATTTGCAGGAAATATTCAACATCCTCAGAAGCTACAAAATGAAACTCAATCCCGAGAAGTGCGCCTTCGGGTAGGTTCAGGCAAATTCTTAGGTTTTATGGTATCGAACAGGGGAATCGAGATCAACCCCGACAAAATCAAAGCCATCGAAGAAATTACGAGGTAAACAACGTAAAGGTCGTGCAACGACTGATCGGGCGGATAGCAGCATTGGCCCGATTCATATCAAGGTCGTCGGACAGGAGTCACCATTTCTTCTCCTTACTCAAAAAGAAAAACAACTTTGAATGGACTCTGGAATGCCAACGCGCCTTAGAAGAGTTAAAGCGATATTTAACGAGCCCGCCTTTACTCCACACCCCGAAAGAGGATGAGACACTATATTTATACCTGGCCATATCCGAGATAGCGGTAAGTGGTGTGCTGGTTCGAGAAGAACAAGGTACGCAATTCCCTGTTTATTATGTAAGTCGGACCCTGGGCGATGCCGAAACCAGGTGTCCGCACCTGGAAAAATTAGCTCTTGCACTAATAAGTGCGTCTCGAAAATTGAAACCTTACTTCCAATGGCATCATATTTGCGTTTTAACAACGTATCCCTTTTGAAGCATACTGCATAAGCCCGAATTATCGGGACGACTGGCCAAATGGGCCATCTAACTCGGGGGATATGATATCGAGTATCAGCCCCGAACGACTATCAAGTCTCAAATTTTGGCAGACTTCGTAGCCGACTTCACTCCCTCCCTCGTACCTGAGGTAGACAAAGAGCTTTTGCTAAAAACGGCACGTCTTCCGGGATATGTACCCTGTTCACTGACGGCGCCTCGAACGTGAGAGGGTCCGGGCTCGGCATAGTTCTGAGGCCACCTACGGGCGGCATGATTAGACAATATATAAAAACTGCAAGGTTAACTAACAATGAGGCCGAGTTTGACGCTATGATTGCAGGTCTGGAATTGGCCAAAGGCCTAGGAACTGAGATCATCGAAGCAAAATGTGACTCCCTCCTGGTGGTAAATCAGGTAAATGGGAGCTTCCGGGTTCGAGAAGACAGGATGCAGAGATACTTAGACAAAATTCAAGTCACATTGCACCGCTTCAAAGAATGGAACCTGTTCCACATACCTAGAGAGGAGAATAGCGAAGTCGTTGCCCTCACAAACCTGGGATCGTTGTTCAACTATCCAAATCAATGATCGAAGAAGGTCATGCCGAGATCAACTCCACTAGCCTGACATGGGATTGGAGAAATAAATATATCGATTATTTGGAAAGTGGGAAGCTACCCATGGACCCAAAAGAGTCGAGGGCCCTACGAACCAAAGCGGCCTGGTTGTCGCTCGACGAAAACAGAATTCTATACAAAAGAACTTTTAGTGGGCCCCTAGCAGTATGTTTGGGGTCGGGAGACACAGATTATGTGCTCCGAGAAATCTACGAGGGCACCTGCGGAAACCACTCTGGTGCCGACTCCTTAGTTCAAAAAATAATTAGAGCAGGCTACTATTGGGACAGCATGGAGAAGGACACCAAAGAATTCGTCCGCAAGTGCGACAAATGCCAGAAATTTGCCCAAATGATTCACCAACCCAGTGAACAACTACATTTAGTCTTGTCACCATGGTCGTTCATGAAATGGGGGATGGACATCGTCGGACCTCTACCAACGGCACCATGTAAAGCTAGATTTATTTTATTTATGATTGACTACTACTCAAAATGGGTGGAAGCACAGGCCTTCGAAAAGATAAGAGAAAAAGAAGTCATTAATTTCATCTAGGACCACATCATGTGCCGATTCGGAATTCCTTCCGAGATAACATGTGATAACGGGAAGCAATT